TAACTACTGATACAACATTTTTTATGAAAAGAGTTCTTAAAGTAACCTGGGCAGGCGGGGTGGTGCATGAGGCAGAGACAGTTGGATCTCTGTGAGTTTGAGGCCAGCCAGGTCTACAAATCAAGTCCAGGACAGCCAAGGATACACAGAGAAACCCTGTCTCAAAAAACAAACAAGTTCTTAAAATAGCAAACAATGCCAAGCTAGTCAACTCTGGTTTAAAAGTAGAAGAGGCAAGGACATGGGGGTGCGGCTCAGCTGACAGAGTGCTTCTGAGCATGCATGAAGTCCCAGGTTCCATTTCCAGCATCAAATAAAAACAGATTGATTACACCTGCAATCTAAGACTGGAGGATGGAGGCAAGAAAAGCAGGAGTTCAGGACCATTGCTGCCACACCCAAGGACCTGAGTTTAATCCGCAGGACCCAGGTGGTAGAAGGAGAAAATATTTTTCTATAAGTTGTCCTTTAACCTTTACACACACACACACACACACACACACACACACACACACACACAAGCACAAACACAAAATAAAAATGTAATTTAAAACAAACAAAAGCTAAAGAGACAGCTCAGTGGTTAAGAGTAAGTACTGCTCTTCCAGAGGACCTGAGTTCAATCCTCAGCATTCATATCTAGGACTCACAACTGCATGTGACTACAGCTCCAGAGGATGCAACACCCTCCTGTGATTTCCTTGACATCCACACATCTAATTAAAAGTAATCTAACCATGGTGGCTCATGGCTTTAACCCCAGTATTTGGGAGGCAGAGGTAGGCTATTTCTGAGTTCAAAGCCAACAGAGAGAGTTAAAGAATAGCCAGTTCTACACAGAGAAACTCTATCTTGAGACACCAAAAATAAATAATAGAATAGAATTATTTTGAAAGTTAAGTAGGACTGGTGAGATGGCTCCTCAAGTTAAGGTGCCTGCTACCATGCCTGACAACCTTAGTTAAATCCCTGGAACCAACATAGTAGAAGAAAAGGACGCCATAAACTGTCCCCCTACACATGCAGAGCATGGCAGCTGTGTGTTTACAACACACACACAAACACACACACTAAATAAACCCTTTTTATTTAATATAATTATTAAATCAATTCATTGAATAAAAATTAAAATAATTTAAAAATAAAATAAAAAGCCAAATAGGCAAAATATTGATTTGGTTATATGACTAGACAGACAGATGGATAAATAGACAGAGTGTCTGAATGGATGATGCTGTGCACGGTTTGTAGGATGGGCAGTACCCCTTTGAAAATTCTGTGACTGGCTCTGAATGGTAGAGGAAAACCGGTTAGAAGCAGCAAGCACTCGTGTAATTTGCCAAACAGATGGTTAGCATTAAGTGCTTTTTTCATATCTTGGAAGGGGCTGCCTCCCACATGTCTGCAGGAAAGCAAGGATCTGCCCCCATCACTTGGACATAATCCTGCCTGCTATCCAACACCGCCCGAGCTCACTGGAAACCCCATGGAATTCTGGAGACCTGAGGGTCCACGTGGCCACGCAGCCTCGTGTGAACATTCTAAATGTTTGCTTCCTCTCTCTTGAAAATGTTCCTTCCATCTGTTCACGGTCAGCAGGGCCAGGATGAGGGCAAGTTGGGTGCAGCCTTTTTAATGTCAATTCTTTTAACTCTTAGGGAAAATAACCGGAGGTGAAATATTAACATTTTAGGGGTTTGTATTTTTATGTCTTTGTTTTTTAGACAAGGTCTCTTGTATCCCAGGCTGATCTTGAACTATTAATCCTCCTGCCTCTGCAGAGCACTGGAAGTACGAGCATTCGACATCAAACCTGGTCTACATGGTACTGAGGCTCCAACCCTGGGCTTCATCTGTGTTAGGCAAGGACTGTCCAAATTAATCACAGCCCAAATATCAAATTTGAACTGATGACAGGGTCAGCAGTAGGACGGGGCAAGAGAAATAATGTTTGTCACCCTGTTTCTAGGGAAGATTTTGGCGTTGTGCTCATGTGGGTTTCCTGTGTTGCTTTTCACTTCCTGTGGTGGGGTGCCTGTGTGTGTGCCTCCTTGTGGCCACCAGTGGAGGCCAGAATTTGCTGCTGGCATGTCTTCTTCCATTCACTCTTCCCCTTATTTTTTGAGAGAGAGAGAGTCTCATACCAAACCTTGGAGCTATTGCAGCAGGATAATTTAGCCAGGGAAGCCCCTGGATCTGCCAACCTCTGCCTCCCAGACCTTGTGTAAACAGGCATGGGCATCCATGCCCACCTTGTTAATGAGTGCTGAGTATCCAAACTCAAGTCCTTCTGCTTGCACAGAAAGCGCTTCCCCCACGAGTGTTCTCCCTAGTCTTATGTTGTTTTACATTCTTTGAAATACTGTCTTTGCAGTGTAGACCTGCAACCCCAGCTGCTTAAAAGGCAGAGACAGGAAGATTGCAAACTCAGGATTTCCCTGGGGGCCAACAAGATGGATCAGTGGGTAAAGGGGCCTGCTGCCAAACCAACTGCCTGAGTTCAATCCTAAGGACTAACAAGGTAGATAGATAAAATTAGCTTTCCAAAAGTCCTCTGACCTCGACTCCTGATTCTGTGGCATTTGTACACACACATACACACACTAATAATAATAATAATAATAATAATAATAATAATAAATTAAAGAGTTAACTGAACTACAGAGTAAGTTCAAGGTCAGCCTGGGCAACTAAGTAAGATCCTATTTCAAAATGAAAGTAAAAATAGGGCTGCAGATGTGACTTGGTGGTAAAGCTCTTGTCTAGCATGCACAAGGACCTACCTTTAACCCTCAGTACCATGTAAAAATATTTCATTAGAGCTACAAGTCTGGTGGACTACTGGCATGCCTATCCTGTGAAACTGGAGTGCCTGGGTTCCAGTTCCACCTCTGGAGAAAGATGGAAGGAAAAGAAAAAAGGAAGACTGAGTTAGAATAAGGTTTACTTAGAATAATGAGGTTCTTGGGCTTCATTTGCTAACCTAGTCACTCCTGCCCACCGCCCTCAGCAGTGCACTCATGCCCACTGCTAGCACTGTAGTCCTCTTTGCCCGTAGATCTGGCTTGAAGAGCTGACTAGTCTGCTCCTAACCATGCCCACATCTCATCCTCCCCGTGAGAACTCACCACCACTTAATGACAGGATAAAATCGAAAACTGATTTTCTTCCATGTTTTCCTCTAAAGGTGAAATCCTGTCCTCTTTCCCCCGGATCTCCACATCTGGACATTTACAGGTGCTGCACACCCCAGTTGGCCTCTGTGCTGCTGCCGGTGGCCTGAGCTGTCCCATCTGACTTGGGCCTGTTTTCTCACCTTCTTTCCCTTCCTGTTCCTAGAGGTTTCCAAGAATGCAGGCTGCTGGCATTGCTGGGGGATCCCAGCAGGTAGTTCAGCATTTGAGATAACAGCTTCCCATAACAGCACCAGTCTCTTGCCAGTTCTCCCCATTTCAACCAAAAAGAACCTGCTAAACGCACCAGAGTGATTCCAACAATTCTATATAACATTTGCCAATCGTTTTATTTTTAAATGTCTATATGTAGGTTTATGTGCAAAATGCATGTAGAGTATGTTTATGTATGTGCACGTTTGTGTGTGAGTCAGTGTTTATGTATGTAAGTGCTGCTGCTCTGTGTGCACCATACATGTGGAGGTCTGAGGATAAACTGAGGTGTCAGTCCTCGCCTTCTGCCTTGTTTGAGATGAAGTATCTTTGTTGCCCATCACTGTGCATGCCAACCTTGCTGACCCTTGACCCAGGCATCTGCCAGTCTCTGGCTTCCTTCTAACTCTGGGAATGCTGGTATTACAGACCTGCATCACCTCCAAAGGCAAATACTTTACCTATTCAGCCATGTCACCAGCCCATCAGGTACCAAAACACTTCCAACAGCCCCACAAAACTTCCTGTTATTTTCTTTAACTAAATAAAAATGACAACGCACTCATTATATGTGTTCGTTATACAAATTCACTGTATAAATGGGTTCTATGAGGACATTTTCATCATGTTCCTTATTACAATGACCTCTTGTTGCCATTTCGTGTTCCCTTCCCTTTTTCTCTCCAGTCTCCTTCCTCTACCTTTATAACAGAGCACAGCACTTTGGGGGTGGAGGAAGGAGAATCAAAAGTTCAAGTTCAAGCTCAGCTACATAGTGAGTTCAAGGCCAGCCTTCACTATATGATACTCTCTCAAAAAACAAAAATGGGCCTGTGGAGTTGGCTCAGGGGGTAAAAGTGCCTCCTACCCAATAAAAGCCCGAGTTCAGCATTCCACAGTTGCATGGAGTTCTTTGTTTAGGTTTGAGGCCCTGCAAGCTTTGTTCTGTCCACGATCTCATCATTGTCCAGGTGTCATCACTGTTAGGCAACTGTGTTGTTGAACTTCATGAATGTAGCTTGTCTGACAGTTCTAGGAGACAAAATCTCACAGCAAACTTTCCTCTGGAATGGAATCTTTCTTTCCCCTTCTACTATGATCCCTGAACTTCTAGTTGATGAATTGATACACACAACTTTAAAAAGCAAATAGTCCCCATTTTACCTACATATACATACAAGCTGGTGTGTATGTATGTGTGATGCACATATATGTTGGGTTCCACATATGAGAGAAAATATGCAACATTGGTCTCTTGGGTCTAGCTTGTTTTTAAGCAAATGGCAACCTCCAATTCTATCCATTTTCTTTTTTTTAAAAAAAGAATTTTTTTTAAAAAAGAAAAGATTTACTTAATTTTATATGTATGATGCTTTGACTATGTGCATGTCTGTGTACCATATTCATGCCTGGTGCCAGGGGTCAGAAAGGGTGTCGGGTCCCCTTGAACCAAAGTTACAGATAGTTGTGAGTCACTGTGTGGGGGCTAGGAGCCAAAATAAATTCCTTTACAAGAACAAGTATTTTTAACCACTGAGCCATTTCTATGGCCCCATCTATCCATTTTATTGCAAATAACAAAATTTCCCTTTTTTTTTTTTACTTTTACAACAGAGGAGAGCTTCAGTTGGATCTTCAGCAGGTGACGGCACCTGGTCCAGGGGCTCTTTTGTCTTGCACTGTGGACATTCAACTCTGGAGAATTCTTTGCTTTGTGAGTGAGTGTATGGGATTTTTGGGAGGAAGATCCTTTCTTAGGGTATTACAGATTTTCAGTTCCTAACTACTCCATTCTAGTAAAATCTTATTTTTATTACATGTAGTGTGTGTGTGTGTGTGTGTGTATACCTATGTCTATATTAGTCAGGGGATGACCTGCGGGAGTCATTTCTCTCCTTCCACCATGTGGGTGCAAGGCCCAGAACTCAAGTCATCAGGCTTGGGAACAAACCTCTTTATCAACTGAGCCATCCTCTTAGCCCACAAGCTCATCTTGTGTGGCAACTAAACCCGTCTCCAGACATTGCCAGATGTTTCTATTCCTGTTGGAGATCAAGTTTCATCTGTGCCTGTCCCTGTTGCTTTGTTTGATTTTACCTCTTTAGGCTCCCACCTTCTTCAGAAGGGAATCACATTGGCTTCCCATGAGCATTTGCAATGTCAAAACTTTAAACTGATTTAATTTAGAGCTTTAGATTTAACAGATGCACAATTGCAAAATAGTATAACAAAACTCAACTGTTGAGTCTGGAAAGATGGTTGCAGTGGTTAAAAACACTGGATGTTTGTCCAGAGGATCCAAGTTCAGTTCCCAGTACTGAACATGGTGGCTCACAGTATCTGTAACTCCAGTTCCAGGGGGATCAAATGTTCTCTTCAAGCACCCGGTACTCATACCAAGCACAGACATTCATACAGGCAAAACATTTATAGACATAAAAGAAATAAAATTTTACACACAGTCTGGTACTGAGGCTCACTCCTGTGATCCCTGCACTCTGGGAGGCAGAGTCAAGTGGATCTCTGTGAGTTTGAGGCCAGCCTGGTCTACAAAGTGAGTCCAGGATAGCCAAGGCTACACAGAGAAACCCTGTCTCGGAAGAAAAAATTTGCACACACACAGAGACACTCAAACACACACACACACACACACACACACACACACACAATGTTGGGGTTGGGAGTGGAGATCAGTTGGTAGACTGCCTGCTTACCATGAAGCTCACAAATCCCATACCGTCACTCACACAACAAGCCCAGGGTCCAATCCTCAGCACCTTTGTAAAATCAGACATGGAAGCACAGGCTGGTAAGCACTTGGGTGACAGAAACAGAAGGATCACTTTTGGCTATGTTGGAAGTTCAAAGATACCCTGGAAGACAAAGGGCTTTGTTAGGAAGGAAGGAAGGAAGGAAGGAAGGAAGGAAGGAAGGAAGGAAGG